GCCTTCCAAGTGGCCAGAACTACAGGTGCATGCTACTGTGCCTGGCTAAGTTTTTGATTTATTGTAGAGACAAAGTCTTGCCAAGTTGCCAGGGCTGGTCTTGAACCCGCGGGCTTAGGCAATCCACTTGTCTCAGCCTCCCAAAGTGCTGAGATTACAGGCTGAGCCATGGAGCCCGGCCCTCACCTCAAATCTTAAAGGAAATGCATTTTATTTACCACCATTGTGCTAGCTCAGAGTTTTTCTTTTTTAAAATAATAAATGAATGTTTAATTTTGTCAGACTTTTTTCCTTTACTCAGTTAATGTGGTAAATGTCATTACTTAGTTTTCTTTTTTCATAACAAAACATTTTCTTTTTTTTTTTTTTTTTTTTTGAGTTGAAGTCTCACTTTGTTGCCCAGGTTGGAGTACAGTGGCACGCTCACGGCCACTGCAGCCTCTACCTGCTGGGCTCAGGTGATCCTTCCGCCTCAGCCTTCCAGGTAGCTGGAAATACAGGCCCGCACCACCATGCCTGGCTAATTTTGTTGATTCATTGTAGAGATGAGGTCTCTCCACGTTGCCCAGACCTGTGGGCTCAGGTAATCCTCTCGCCTCGACTTCCCAAAGTGCTGGGATTATAGGTGTGAATTACCACACCTGGTCAGCTAATTTTTAAAATTTTGTGTAGAGACAAGTTTTTGTTATGTTGCCCAGGCTGGTCTTGAACACTTGGGCTCAAACAATTCTCTCGCCCTGGTCTCCCAAAGTACAGAGATTACAGACATGAGCCACTATGCCCAGTCTAGACATTTCTTTATAAATATTCCCTTTAAAAAAATTAATTTTTTATTTTTTAAACCACCATAGAACTGCCAAATCCAAGATATTTCTTTTTTTGGGGGGGGAGTCTTACTCTGTTGCCCAGGCTGGAGTGCAGTGGCACGTTCACGGCCACTGCAGCCTTGACCTGCTGAGTTCAAGTGATCTTCCAACTTCAGCCTTCCAAGTAGCTGGAACTACAGGCATGCACCATCATGCCCCGTTAATTTTTTGATTTATTGTAGAGATAAGTTCTTGCCAAGTTGTCCAGGCTGGTATTGAATCCATGGGCTCAGGCAATCCTCTCAACTTGGCCTCCCAAAGTGCTGGGATTATAGGCATGAGCCACCTACTGTGTCTGGCCAAGATATTTCCTTATAAGTTTTTTCAGTTCTAATATAGAATTCTAGGTACTTCTTTCTCAGCACAATGAAGGTATTACTTCATTATCTTTTTACTTTTCTTGTTGCTCTGAAGAAATCAGCTGTCAATCTAATCATTGCAACTTTGAAGTTATCTGAGTTTTCTGTCCTTTCAAATATCTGAGCACTGTCTTTGGCATTCTGCAATTTTATTACAGTTGGAATGTGGATTTCTCTTATTGCTATTAAGAATGCATTGAAATTCTTGAATCTGATGATCTTCATTCATTTTCTATTTCTTTTTCTTACTATGCTGTCATTGGAATCATTTCTTCAGCTCTGTCTTCTCTTTTCAGGTGTGTCTAATCTTTATTTATTTATTTTTTAGGGACAGGGTCTCACTCTGTCACCGAGGCTAGAGTGCAGTGGTGATCATAGCCCACTGCAGCCTCAAACTCCTGAGCTCAAGCAACCCTTCTACCTCAACCTCCTAAGTAGCTGGGACTACAGGCATATGCTACCACACCCAGCTAGTTTTTACAATATTTTGTATAGAGAAGATCTTGCTATGTTGCCCAGAGTAGTCTCAAACTCATGGGTTCAAGTGATCTTCCTACCTGGACCTCTCAAAGTCTTGGGGTTACAGGAGTAAGTGACTATGCCTGTCCTAATCTATTAAAACTGTGAACTGAGTTTTTCATTTTGAGTTGGAGTCTCACTGTCATCCAGGCTGGAGTATAGTGGCATGATCATGGCGACTGCAGTGTCAAACTGCCGGGCTCAGGTGATCCTTCCACATCACCTTTCCAAGTAGTTAGAAGTACAGGTGTGCACCACCACGCCCAGCTAATTTTTTGATTTATTGTAGAGACAAGGTCTCTCTGAGCTGGCCAGGCTGGTCCCAAACCCCTGGGCTCAGGTAATCCTCTTGCCTTGCCTGCTGGGATGACAGGTATGAGCCACTGTGCCCGACCAAAAAACTGTCCACTGAGTTTTAAATTTTAATTATTTCATTTTTCAACTCCAGAATTCTGCTTATTTTTAAAAAACTGATCATTTTTACATTCTCTTGTTATTTACTCATATTATTTATTCCTTTCTTATTTTTTAAAAGCTCTAAGATAGTTATTTTATGTTATGTTTCTGATAATTCCTATATTTACAGTCTTTGCAGGTTTGATTCTGTTGTCTGTATTTCTGCTGCTCTTGCTTAAGGTACTTAGCTTGCTTGGGCTTTGTGATTTCTGAGTGTGTACTTATATATCTTAGAACTTTATCTGTGGGAATTTTTGACACCTGCGATAAAGGTGGGTTCTTCTAGAGAGAATTATATCTGCTTCTTCTAGCACTTTGGGCACTTAGGACCACTATTTATTTATTTATTTAAGTTGGAGTCCCACTCCGTTGCCCAGGCTGGAGTGCTGTGGCATACCCACGGCCACCCCAGCGTCAACCTGCTGGACTCAGGTGATCCTTCAACCTCAACCTTCCAAGTAGCTGGCCACCGTGCCCAGCTAATTTTTTTATTTGTTGTAGAGATGAGGTCTCGTTAAGTTGCCCAGGCTCTTCTCAAACCCGTGGGCTCAGGCAATCCCCTCACCTCGGCCTTCCAAAGTGCTGGGATTACAGGCTTGAGTCACTGCGCCTGGCCAGGACCACTTATGTTAATTTCCCTGCTGGGGGCTTTTCAGACCATTCAAGGAGTATAAATCTGGGTTGCAAATTTGTTTTAGGACTAGCTTTTGGCCATACATTTTCAAGAGCTTCCTTTCATTTTTATGTTGTACCAAGAACTGTAGCCATTTTGACTGCAGACCCTCCAGGTGGAGGGGTTAGCTTATTTCCAGGTTAGCCGCCTAAGAGTAAGGGTATAACTTTAGCGTCTCACCTCTATGGGAGGATATCCAATCAGAATCTCCATATTGAGCAGACCCTGGGCTCTATCTCCTGTCCCTGAGTTCCTTAAGGTCTTGAAAACTGAAATCTAACTGGTTTGGCAATTGCTCTATTTATTTCTCTGGGTTTCTTCCTTTCTTTCTTCTTTGTAGAGATAGGGTCTTGCATGTTTCCCAGGCTAGTCTTGAACTCCTGGCCTCAGGTAATCCTCCTGCTTTGGCCTCCCAAAGCGTTGGGATTACAGGTATGAACCACCACACCTAATCCTGTCCAAGTTTCTACTTGGTTTGGCAGAATATACCTTACTTATATTCATTTATTTATTTAATTTTTTTTTTTTTTGAGTTGGATTCTCACTCTGTCGCCCAGACTAGAGTGCAGTGGCATGCTCCCTGCCACCACAACCTCGGCCTGCTGGGCTCTGGCGATCCTTCCACCTCAGCCTTCCAAGTAGCCGGAACTATAGGTGCATACTACCATGCCCGGCTAATTTTTGATTTATTGTAGAGACAAGGTCTCACCATGTTGCCCGGATGGGTCTCGAACCCACTGGTTGGGCAATCCACTTGTCTCAGCCTCTCAAAGTGCTGAGATTACAGGCTGAGCCACCGAGCCCGGCCTATATTCATTTATTTAGAAGATGTCTTTAGTATTTTATCCAGAATTTTGGTTGTTTTCAGCAGGAGGGTCAGTTAGGGTACCTGTGTCAACTATACCATCCGAAATGGAAGTCGTCATCACTTACTTTTCAATAATATCCTTAAAATTGATCTAGAAAATTCTCAGCCCTATATGTACATTGGTTCCCAAACCTTTTTATATCTCCTTATACTGTTTCTTTCAACACCATGTCCTTTAAGTATGACACATACACAGCGAATTTTAGCATGTGAAACTGATATCTTTGGCTGATGAAGAATTATGTAATGTTAGGCAGAAAAAACGTTTTTTTTGTTTTTTTTAAGGAAACTTTCATTTAATTTAACATTTATTTTCATTTTATATTCAGATGTCACACTTTCTACGTTAAAATATAATCATGCGGAATCCCCCCACCCCCTACACCCTCAGAGAAAAAAGTGGAGGATTGAGACAACTTGAAAGATGGAATGCACAGAGTAAGGAGGTTGCCACTGCACCTGAGTGACAATGAGGGCACACAGGACACATGGTAGCACTGCATAGAAGGTTGCTCAAGGCTCACATCAGGAGGCCGTGGGAATACAACTCGAAAGCTTTTTAAATGCTATCACTTGTTCCACAAGATTACCCTGAAAAGGTAGAGATGGGTCAGAAAGCAGAACTGAACCAAGGATTTTCCCAAGGCTGCTCCAACAGAGTTTAAAGCATCCACAAACATAAGAGCTTGCACGCCCCACTGTGCCCTCGGCATCTAGTGAGCGCTGGGGAAACTCAAACCACTGTCAGCATGCCGGAACACGGGATGGCTACAGCTTTTCTCTCTCCTCCTTTTGCTGTACCCCAAGCAACAATTCCATCAACTATTTTAAGTATGTGATTCTTCTGCATGGAAACCAGCAGGGTCACCCAGACAGGAATCGAGCTGCTACTGGATCAACACCAGCTGTGCAGCAGTTGCAGGGCTCTGTGTCACGCAGGAGAGCTGTAAGACGCAGGAATGCAACGCTGTGCACTAACCAGGAAAGGAAGCTCCTTTGCTCATCTACTCACTCTACAGGGAAGAGCAAGGAGACAGTGAAAACATCTGCTTCGAGTAGCAGCATACTAAAGATCCACAGGCACACCAACAACTCAAAGAAAATCAGGAAAGAGCCTCCTGGCTCTTCCAAAAGAAGACCTCTTTCAGACCTGATCTTGCCCCTAATTCAGAAACCTATCAGGATAACTTTGGCAAGTGACACTTGAGGGAGCTGAGCAGTAAGGTGCAAGAAATCCCAATGATGAGGACATCATCAGGTAACTAACTACAACCACTATGTACAATACATACATCAACAAGAAAACACACCTCCGCCCCTGCAGCTACTTTAAACAAAGCACTGAAAACCCAGGTTCTCTGAATAGGGGATATTTTAAAGTCTGTTAGCAGTTTAAAACATTGCAACACTGGCACAATATGTTACCTATTCTCATGTTTAATTACAGGGTAACACAGTAAACTCCAACACAAAGGTGGGGGCAGGGGTGGGGGAGTACACGAAGAATAAAGTAAACAGAACCAGTATTTCACAAGAGGCCCAAGCCAGTGATGAAGCAATGGGTTAATGCTTTGCAGAGTCTCGAGGGTAAAATTCACTCAGGGTGCTCTGAAGAATTCGCTTCAGTATTTCTTTGGGGAAGATTCGGAGTAGCTGCCAGCCAGTGTCCAAAGTCTCATAGACAGTGCGGTTTTCATAAGGACCCTGAGCAATAAAGTTCCTCTCAAACTTCTGCAGAAATTCCAAGTAAAGAAGATCATCTGAGGTAAGGGCTACTTCTCCAACTACGGCTTTCATGGCTTGCACATTCTTCCCAATAGCATAGCATGCATACAGCTGGTTAGACACATCGGCATGATCCTTTCTGGTCATACCTTCTCCAATAGCAGACTTCATTAACCGTGATAGTGAGGGCGGCACGTTAATAGGCAGGTAAATCTGTCTGTTGTGTAGCTGTCTGTCCACATAGATCTGCCCCTCTGTAATGTATCCAGTCAGGTCAGGGATGGGGTGAGTGATATCATCGTTAGGCATGGTGAGAATGCTACCCTCCACTTGACCTGTGCGTTCATATATCGTGGCTAAATCTGTATACATGTAACCTGGGAAGCCTCGTTGACCGGGAACCTCTTCCCTGGCTGCGGAAACCTCTCGAAGTGCTTCAGCATAAGAGCTCATGTCTGTTAGGATAACCAGTTCGTGCTTCTCACACTGGTAAGCCAGAAATTCAGCTGTGGTAAGAGCCAGGCGAGGAGTGATAATTCACTCAATAGTTGGATCATTAGCCAAGTTCAAAAAGAGACAGACATTGTCCATTGAGCCATTTTCTTCAAAGTCAGATTTGAAGAACTGGGCAGTTTACATGTTTACAGCCATAGCAGCAAGCACAATTGCAAAATTTTCCTCACTGTAGTCCACTACATCTTTGGATTTCTTTACCAAACCAGCCTGGCAACAGATTTGAGCTGCAATCTCATTGTGTGGTAACTCAGCAGCAGAGAAGATAGGAATTTTCTGTCCCCTAGCAATAATGTTCATGCATCTGTGGCCGAAATGCCAGTCTGAATCATCTCCTCCGGGTAGATTCGACATTGAGGATTGATTGGCTGGCCCATGAGATCAAGGAAGTCTTCAACCAGGACAACAGGACCCCTGTCGATGGGTTTTCCTGATCCATTGACTACCCGACCAAGCATGTCTTCAGACACTGGTATTCGGAGAATATCCCCAGTAAACTCACAGGGCGTTTTCTTAGCATCTATACCTGAAGTCCCTTCAAATACCTGAACCACTGCTTTGGAACCACTAACTTCTAGAACTTGTCCACTTCTCTTCGTGCCGTCTGGTAATGTCAAGTGAACAATCTCAGCATATCTGGGAAACTTAACATGACCTAGGATCACTAGAGGACCATTGACTCCTTATACTGTCTTGTATGTGAGGTGAGGCTGGGAGAGGTAGTTCCGACTAACTGCCAGCGCCTGCTCCCGAGGTCCCGCCACCGGCCCACGGGTGGGCACCGGTAGCGCGGCCGCGGCCCTGTTCATGATCCCTGCATTACCCGCAGCGCCATCTTGTCTCCTCCGTCCGGACTGGCAGAAAACGATGTAATGTTAGGCAGAAAAAAAGTTTTAAAGGGCAGCTGAGGTCTGCAATGTTCATGCTGTTTGGATTTTCTTTTTCTATTTTTTTTGTCGCTTGCTTTCTCTTTTGCTTTTAAACTTCAATTTGAAATATTCCTAAATTTCCCTGTTGTTTATTTTCCTCGTTAACATTTCTGGTAAACAGAACAGATTAATGTGTATCAAAGGAACATTTTTAAGGACAGCATGATCGCATTGGATGGTCTCCACTTTTCAACGTGTCTGGTTTTGAATCACATAATAGAAACATTTCGAATATCTGATTCTCCATGTCTCGCCAAATCCCATGCTTTATTTTTTGTGAATGCACTGATTATTGCAGCAAGTGTCAAGAAGGCCCAGCAAAGAGGAGCAGAGAGGGATGCAACCCTCTCCCATTCCATTCTTCGGCCTAAAAGGGCCTTTCTTTCTCTCACTTTTCTTGTTTCTCAAAGCCTTCTCTGACCAGCCTGGGGAAGCCATTTCCCCCACCCCCTGAAAGCCAATGAAGATGGCCCCTTTCTTCCTCACTCCTGGTAGCATCCTCCCCGTAACCCCCTCACTGCTCTTTCGTAATCACGTTCTCTTTTTTTTTCCTCTCCTACCTCTCTGCCCACTCCTCCTCACCTCCTACTCAAGTCTCTTCTCTTTCACCTCCTTAAATACTAGTGCTCCTCACGGCTGAGTGAGGGACTCTTTCCTTCCCCTCCCTCCAAGCCCTCGTGACTCGCCCAGGTGGCTCCAGCGCTGCCTGGAACCTCCACCTGGGTGTCCCCAGGACATCCTGAACTTCCTGTCTACCCAACTCCCCAATCCCTCCAATATCTACTTCTCTTCCTGCTTCTGTTCCAACCAGAGTATGGGAACCATCCTGGACCCGTCCTTTCCTCATTCCCTTATCTGCTTCGTGCTCTAAGGCTGTCCAAGTCTTTCATAGACGGATGGACATTCATTCTCTGTTCCATTGCAAATGCCACTGCCCCATCTAGACCCTTACCCTTTCTTGCCTAGGTCACTGTTTTTGTGGTGCATGATTGACTCTCGAATCCCAGGATCTTCTGCTGATGAGCTAGGTGACTTGCGTAAATCACGTGGCTGCCTTGCATTTGAGCAGAGATAATAATATGCCCCTCACGAGGCTGAAAGGCAATAGAGCATATAAAAATACTTGGTAGATAGCAGTTCACTGCTTTTCAGATGTAAGGACTTATTGTTCACCACCAGTGTGCTGCTGTGACTTGCATGCTTTTTAAAAACACACTGTCGTGATGCCCTCTCCTTCTCTGGAACCTTCCCTGCTCCACCAAATGCCCTTTGTCTCCTTCCTTTTCCATCTCACTGCTTCCTTCTCTTCTGCTCACAAATCTGTTCCAGCTCACCCCTTCTAAAAACACATCTTCCTCCATCCCGCCTCCCCCTCAGGCCTTCCTTTCTTCCTCTCGTGGCTGCCAAAGCCCTTCAAAGAGTGTTTTCCTGGCTGCCTCCGGGTCTCGCCACCCACTTCTTTCTTAATTGGCACAATCTGGATCCGGCTTCGGCACGACCTGGTCCCTGCGCCCTCGGAAGACTCTTGTGACCTCCAGCTGCTGCAGGAGGGAGGCCTCCTCGGGCTTGGCTCACCGGGTCTCCAAGCATCTGGCCCGGGGCTGGTCACCTCCCCCTTCCCCACATGTGCCTCTGGCCATTGGGACCTACCCCGTCCTGATTTTTCTCTTCTCTCTCCAGTGGTTGCTTGTTTTCTTCCCATAAGGGTTGGCATCGCTCAGGCTGCTGACCCTGGGGCCTCTTGCTTTCTCTCTTTCCTGCGCAGTGTTCTCAACCCCTCCCACGACCGCCATCAGGCCCCCTCAGCAGATGCCTCCCCAGTGTGACGGTTAGCACTGAGCTCCTTCTGGAATGGTAGCTCCTTGTGTCCATTGCTGGGGGGACAGCTGCTTTTGGTGGCCCTGCTGGAGCCTGCAACTCAAAGTCCAAAGTGAAAATCAAGCTCTTACCACCCTTTCCCACAGACCCACTTCTGCTTCTGTTTTCTGGGGTTTTTTTGAGTTGGAGTCTCACTCTGTTGCCCAAGCTGGAGTGTGGTGGCACCCTCATGGATCACTGGAGCCTCGACCTCCCCGACTCAGGAGATACTCCCGCCTCAGCCTTCCGAGTAGCTGGGAATACAGGTGGGCAGCCCCATGCTCTGCAAATTTTTTGATTTTTTTATAGAGGTGAATTCTGGCTACATTGCCTCAGCTGGGCTTGAACTCCTGAGCTCAGGCCATCCTCCTGCCTCAGCCTCCCAAAGTGCTGGGATTACAAACATGAACCATTGTGCCTGGCCACTTGTGTGTCTCATTTCCATGAATGGCCCCAGCAGTCTCTCAGTCTGGAGGCCTCACTCTGGTTTCCCTCCCACACCAGTCACTTGCTGAGTCCTGTAGATCCTCTTACTGAGGTCCCTGCGCTGTTGCCACCGCCCTGCAGAAAAGCCTTCACGATCTCTGTCCTAAACCGTCTCCACAGCCCATCACAGGTTTGACTTGCTTTACTTTTTTTCTCCTTCCTTGCCAGCCCTTCTTCCTCCTTCCTCCCCCCTTCCTCTGCCCTTCCCTTCCTTTTCTCTCTCTCACAACAAATATTTATTAAGGACCTACTGTGTACCAGAGGCACTGGAAAAATAAAGAATTCAGGCAGTACAGGCCTGTTCCTGAGATGCTGAGAGATGGTAGGGTACTTCTTTCTTTCTTTTCTTTTTTTTTTTTTTTGAGTTGGAGTCTCACTCTGTCACCCAGGCTGGAGTGCAGTGGCACGCTCACAGCCACCCTAGCGTTGACCTGCTGGGCTCTGGCGATCCTTCTGCTTCAGCCTTCCAAGTAGCCAGAACTACAGGCGAGTACTACTATGTCTGGCTAATTTTTAAAATTTACTGTAGAGATGAGGTCTTGCCAAGTTGCCCGGGTGGGTCTCGAACGTGTGGGCTCAGGCAATCTACTTGCCTTGGCCTCCCAAAGTGCTGAGATTACAGACTGAGCCACTGAGCCCAGCTGGGTGCTTATTTCAAGAGGCTTCTTCCCAGTGGGGACTGTGGGGAAGTGAGAACAACAGTCATCAGGTATGCACGCAGGGCTTCCCACCAGACCTCCTGGGCTACGTTCGCCCCTCCATTCCAATCCACAGTATCTGTTGTGCCAGACAAATCTTCCTTAGGCCCGGTGACACCTCTGCCAGGCTCATTCTTGGAGCTCCACTTCCTGGATAAGGCCTCAGCACGTTTTCATGGTTTTTTTTTTTTTTTTGAGTTGGAGTCTCACTCTGTTATCCAGGCTGGAGGGCAGTAACACACTCCCAGCCACTGCAGCCTCTATCTGCAGGGTTCAGGTGATCTCCCACTTCAGCCTTCCAAGTAGCTGGGACTACAGGAATGCGTCACCATGATGGGCTAAATTTTCGATTTACTGTAGAGATGAGGTCTCAGCAAGTTGTCCAGGCGGGTCTCGAATCCGTGGGCTCAGGCAATCCACTCACCTCAGCCTCTCAAAGTGCTGGGACTATAGACGTGAGCCACTGGGCCCGGCTTCATGGGTTTTTACAAAGTTCCCAGCCCACTCCCCCAGACGCCTCTGCCAGGTCTTCCTGCCACCCTGTCCTCCACCACAACCTGTCCTTCACTGGAAGTTCTTAGCAAGTACTTTGCCCCTGACCTGTGCCTTTCTTTTTATAGTTACCCTCCTCCTCATTACTCTGCCTGTGAACGTCCCAACCACAGGTCTATTTTTAGCTCCGACTCCAGCAGGTATGACTGTTCCCTCCAGCCATGCTTCCAACCCCCTTGTCTCTCTCATGGTGCACAAAACCAATGACTCAACAAGCAAACCATCTGCTGGAGACGCAGAGAGCTGTAGCATCCCCCAGGCTCCTGGGGCTGACCAGCAAATCCAGCAAACCTGAGAGCAATGAGAGTCCCACAATAAGGAGCAGATAGCTCAGCGTGGCAGTCAGGGGACACCTTGCACTCACCTGAGAAGAATGCATTGAGCTCAAAGCCCACCACACATGGTGAGGGCTGCTCCCAGTGTCACTGTGAGGAGGCCCTGGGGAGCAACACCTTGGGGTCTGTAGTGCACATGTGACCTTGGGGTCTGCAGTACACAGCTGAGCTGCATGGAGTCCTGGGGAATATTCTCCATCTCGCCCGACACCTCCTCCTGTGATTTCCTGATTTCCTGGCCACATATTGCAGTGATTGTCTCTAAATATTGTCCCTCAGGATATGTTCTTTTCATACCTGCTGTGGCAGTTGGAATCCTCTGTCTCATAAATCTACCTCCCTGCAACAGGGGAGATGGAAGTGACTAACATCTGTGGACTTGAATGCAATGAGGTTTCTTTCTTCCATGGCAGGATAGGCCAGGGTAGGACAAGGACCATATTGTGGTCTTGGTACTTACTGTTCAGGGTGACTCTCAGGGTGGCTTACTCTCTCTCTCTGTCTCTCAAAAAATGCTACTGATTGATGAATTCAGCCGCTGAAGGAATTATTGTCTTTTCCATAATATTTCAGTGAATCCGGTAATTCCAGTGCTTTAGGAGGCTTAGGCAGGAAGATCACTTCAGGCCAGGAGTTTGAGACCAGTTTAGGCAACATAGCAAGATCCCATTTCTACCAAAAAAAAAAAAAATTTAGTCTGGTGTGGTGGTGCATGCCTGTAGTCCCAGCTACTTGGGAGGCTGAGTCAGGAGGATTGCTTGAGCCCAGGGATTTGAGGCTACAGTGAGCTATGATGGCACCACTGTGCTCCAGCCTGGGCAGCAGAATGAGAAAGACCCTGTCACTAATAATAATAATGATGATGATGTTAATAATTAGTAATAATAATAACCAGTTTTGAATGTCCCCCCCAAAAAACTCATGTTGAAATTTAATTGCCATTGTGATGAGATGGGACTGTTAGGAGGTAATTCAGTC